TAGGTAGCTTTAAAAGGAATGCTTCAACAAGCTACGCAATTAATTAAATTTTGGAAATTAAGTAAAACTGATGCTGTCATTTGGATTGTAACATTTCTTATTGTAATATTAGTTAATATCGATATTGGACTATTAGCAGGACTATTAGTTTCACTTGCAAGTGTATTATTACAAAGTATTAGACCGTATACGTGTTTACTAGGTCACATACCAAATTCAGATTTATATTTAGATCTTAATAGATACAAAGCGGTAAGATTTCAAAACTTTTATAATTGCATATAAATAATTTCATGTAATATTAAATTACAAATTTTATTTATTGTGTGTTTGCAGGCTAAGGAAATAGAAGGAATTAAAATATTTCATTACAGCGGAAGTTTAAATTTTGCCAATAGTGCTCATTTCAAATCTGAAGTCCATAAACTGATTGGTATTAATCCGCAAAAAGTTATTAGACAAAGAATGAAACTTAGACAAAAGGGGATTCATTTAGATGAACAAGATTTTGAACATAAGGATGGGTTACATTGTATCATTATGAACATGAGCGCTATAAGTTATATAGATCCGACAGGTGTTAACGCGATACATGCAATAGCTTCAGAATTTGCTGAAATTCAAATAAACTTTTATCTAGCCAGTTGTTCCAGTCCAATATTTGAGATGATCAAAAAATGCGAAATGTATATATACAAAGAATTGTCATTTAAAATTTTTGCAACTATAGAAGACGCTGTATCTTATTTTCGATCCGCTAACTTATCAAGATGACTGTGTCTCGCATTTTACTTAATAATACATAAACAATATATTTACTTATTAAAATGAAATGTAATTCAAACAAAAATATTATTTTTGTATAGTACTTTAACTACTTTCATATAATGAGAGGTTTAACCATATACACATGTTAATAGAAAACAAATCAATTTAAATTTTTAGTACAAAGTATACCGTTGTACTTAGATATTTTTTATTATGTGGCATGAGAATGACAAATGTACATTTATACTTAAAAGAAAACTGCTTAGCTACAAGCATTGTGATCTTATTATCTACAAAATATACATGACAGTTATGTACAATAAAATTGCACAAATATATTTTTGAAATTATGTAAAAATATTATTTCTGCGAATAGGGCAGCTTGAAAATAATTATTACAGATATAAAAAGATATTCTACTGTTGTCAATAATAATATTTAATTATAAACATAAATAAATATTTACAGGATGTCCTGAAATCCGTGGTACAAACAAACATGAAAAATTAAGTCGAAAGCATAGAATAAGATTTGTACATAAAAGTAAAAATGATATGGGGAAATTAAAATATAGAAGACAAGAAACCATTTAATCGAGTAATCATTTTGTTTATTTACAATGACCACTCATATATACAGTAACAGTACACAGTTACATTGTGTAACAATAGCTGTCACGATTCCGTCTCACGAAAGCGCTAGTTTTTTTTTTCTTTTAATTCTGTTTTCATCATGGAATTATAGAACTAAGAATATTATTAGTTTTATTCTCACTTCTAATATAGTCTGGCAGTGTTGCCTTCATTGATGAGAGTTTAACTTACTGATGAATAAATACACAAGAAAATAAACTGTCATTGGACATTGTTCAACAATGTTATTACGTATGAAATTAGTTGAATTTTCCTATAGTTTTATCCTCTAACTGTGATCTTGTTCACGATCCAATTAAAAAATTTGACCATTAATGGTATTTAAGCAAGACCATATTTCTTCTTAAGAGATTCTGGCATTTCTGGTGGTGGTGGACGTGGCATGCGTAGCCAAACTTTAACTGCGTCGTAAATGAACCACTGAGCTGCTGTTAAAGTACCAATCATAATGATCCTAGGTCCCAGTCCTTTCCACACACCGGCAAAACCAAGTTTCCTCAATACGTCGCCAGCAGTAGCACCTTTTTCTTGATTAAGTTTGGATACAACCTTAAGAGAAATTAAATATAAATGATAGTAAATAAAAATTATTCTGTAATTAATATAATCTTATAGTTTGGTATACTTACCGAATCAGCAGGATGAGAAACAACAGCACAGAATACACCAGCAATATAACCAGCAGCAAAGGTAACTACTAACTGTTCTCCTTTGGTACATTCTAACCTTGGCTTAGGTACTACGTACTTGTACAATAATTCAAGCGTACGCTCAAAGCATGCGAATTTCATCATAGTATATGGGATTTGACGTAACCATAAAGGTACCAGACCTTTGTAAAAACCGCCAAGACCTTCATCTGCATACATCTTTGGGAATGCCTCTCGTAAGGTATTTGCGAAGCCTGGCATGGTCTGAATTCTGACCTATATAAATGAAATATTTGACTATGCTTATTATTATTAATTTTAATATATTTAAAAAATATAATTATCTAAAAAGAAGGAATGAAAATATTAAAAACTTACAAAATAAATGACAAGGATACAACAATGCAAGGACGAAGTGTAGTATGAACTGAGCAAAGGTGTAAAATTGAGAGGGTTAATGGGATATAAAATTAAAGATTTCAATCTGTGCATATAAGTCAGTAAATCTTTGACTCCATTGACTTTATTATAAAATTATTATATAATAAAAAAAATAAGAAATTACCTTTGCAGCTTCAAGCGGAGCTAAACCAATGTCTGCAAAGAATTCTGCGGATGCAGAAGAAATAAGATACAAGCTAGTTCTGTATTCGTAAGATGTCTCTTCACCAGCAAGAGCAGAATAATAAACTTTAAAAACTTCATAAAGTCCAAATTTGAACATTCCTTGAATGGAATATCCAAAGAATGTAGGTGCCCATCCTCTTACTAAACCTCTAGTTCCATCTTCGGCTAGAGTTACCTATTCAAAAATAATATATTTAAATATATACTATTTTTTTGGTCTGCAATAGATTAATCTTTCATAAATGAGAATATATATACTGAAATAAAGATTGTATTCACGTACACGGAAACCATTGAAAACTGATTTATATTTGGCAGGGTCTACTTGAATGCGACATTTAACTAAATCCAATGGAGTAACCATGGTATGAGTTATACCGCAAGATAAAATTCCTCCAAGTCCACATAGTGCAAAGTATTTGTTAGAACCAAACTCGCAACTATCTGTAAAGATAATTCAAATATCAAAAAGATTATAAGATTTTTTTCATATATAACCCACGTGAATGTGTTGAAAAGTTTTAAGCCTGACATAAAAATAATTTTTGTTCAATCAAACTTAATTATTTTTTTGTATAAAAATTTAAATTTCTTTTTGTTGAGACTCAAAAATGTTTAGCCCACCCTCATATTCGAGTTCATTGAGAATTAAAAGCAAAAAAAAAGAAAACGAGTAGAATCGAATAGACGATATCGATCAGCTGATAAACTCGTGCATTCGGAATTCGAATTTGGCAAGATTTCAAGATCGTCTTTAACGGATCTGCTACCTTGCCCTATTCTAATAATAAACCATTCTAGTAGAAAGAAAAGCATTAGGTTGACTACTCGGTCGCGGTCATCATTCAAAGGCAATGTTAATCATTATTTTAGTTCGAGTATCATTTGAAAGTTCCGAAACCAAGATCGGCATGCATCTTAGACAAAATGGCCGCTCCTTATGCAACCGACATTATTTCGATATGATGAGTAGATTACACGCTAATGACAATTCTTCTTACGTTCTAATTCGTATCAATTATTTATAAACAATTGTTCATCTTAATTATTAATACAAAATTTATAAAAATTCATTGTATTGCATATTATACGCGACATTGAATACGACACATGCAAAGCAACTCCCTCCCTCATATTCTCGTAAAAAATTTGAATGCGGTGAGTTAAAAGTTACATAATTATTAGCTAATAAAATAAAAATACAAATAAACGATGATATTATCGAAGTTTCATCTTTTGTTAAATAACTCGATAATAATTTTCCCGAGTATTAAAGGAGGCTAACGAAGTATCGAGGCTATGTCACCGTTGCGACAAGATACCATAGTAATGATTTTTACATGAAGTACATATTATGTAACACCGTATCACATGCGAACAAAACGATCTAGATCGTTTCTGTTAAATAAGAAGGAAAGCATGTAAATTTTTTGAAATTCGATTACTAAGAATTTTCCTTCATAACTTTGCAATCGACTCATTAAGATACTAGTAGTTAGATCATTTTTTGAACTTCTCAACCATCAGAATGAAATATCTTTTCTGTTAGAAATTGTTGCTTAAACAAACATTTTTTTTAATTAATAAAATTTGTTCCAAAATTATACTGACCGCCGTTAGCGGAAGCAGCCGAGATGGTGCGATTTTTAACGAGCGTTTGCATACTCTCATCTTGACCCTGACACCTAACATTGGTAAAAGGTGTTGAAAATGGTGATAATTTAGCTGTTTCCCATAATGACGACCACATCTTTCCTGTCTTCCTTTGAATAAAACACTTCACCTGAATAAAACACCATATGATTATTTATATATATATATAGATTATTATATTTAAAAAAAAAGAAAACTTTAATTTAACATGACATACAAGATCTTTGCAGACGCAACTCTCACCTCCGCGTAGATGAAAGAGAGTGGAAAAGGCAAGGAGTTTTCTATACTGACAGAACCATGATATGAACGCTGTCATAGATGGTACAGTATTCAAATTAATCTATTCGAATGAATATGCGACATCTAGAGGATTTTATACGCTATGTTATTTTTTCTATAATTTTTTCATTTTAGATTATGATTTTTGAAAAAAATATCTCTTATCAAATTATAAATTAAATATTTTTATTTCTTTATTTATTCTATAAAAGTTAGATATATTTCTGTAATATAAAATTGAAATTTATTGAAGTATTCGCCATTACTTTAATCCAACCAATTGCAGACAATTAAATTCAATCGATTATCTAATATTCAATTTGATTGGTTTTCAGGCATTATTAAATATAACTGTTTTGTTATATTTACTGTAATTAAATTTTTTTATTATTATAAATACTATTACATTGCGTTTATGTTTTTTTTTAATTTATTTATTGTTATTTGTTATATTTTTTAAACAAATTCAATTTAAAATTTTTTTCTTATGGCAACGTTGCTATATTTCAGCCGCATTCTTCTCATATTTAAGTACTTTAATTTTACTTTTGTGTAGGAGAATAGCGGTGTTCATCGTTTTGTTATTAATAATAATAACCTATGAAAGATAAAACTAAAGAATCAGCACCAGGTGATGGCATACGCTCATTACGAAGTACGACATTATTTCGTGCCGTTAATTATGAGTTGTATGTTAAGCCGGTAAAATCAATAATTTATTTATATAAGGTTTAGTAATGTTGTTTTCTTTTAATATGTTTGTAATTTTTTTTCATGACAATCTTAACGATATAACTTAAAAAACAACATTACTTACTACTTACCTTAATATATTTATACTAACATAATTAAAACTATAATTAAAATTAATGAAAATTAATTGTATATTTATATCATACTTTATATTTGTTTCAGAATAAGGGCATAATGCTTTTTGGGGTTATGGCAATGCTTACTTGTTCAGGGTATTTATTTTACATGAGATATAAACATGATGGCACTGATTATCATGAATCCGTACAAGCAGATGGGAATATTACTTTTAAAAACAAAACTTCTAAATGGCTAGATTAATTTTACCAAAATGTTCACAAAAGACATATTTCGATTTAATAAGAATGATGTTAAGAGAAATCAGAGTTGTATTGTATTTTTAAAAATTTAATTTATGATCTTCGATGGTCATGTTTTAATAATGAAGAATTCATAAATACGAGTAGATATAAGAGGAAGAGTAATTTATTGTCATTTCGAGCCTTCAAGTATAATATCGCTATTTACATTAACACTCGTTCAACGTTATTTGCGTATGCCCTGTAAAAATGTTGCACTTTATAATTATATCTAATTAGGAATAAATATGTGTATATATTTAAATGAAACAGAAAAAAATATATTATTTATTTTTGTAAATATTACGTACACATTAGTCCTTCAAAGTCTACATAATTATTTTTAAAACACTAAGATGGTGGAAGACATTAAGCAATGCATCTTTTGTGAACAACCTGTGTAATATCACTTTTATAGTTTGTATAGTTTATTATATTATTTACCAGATATAAATTATCAATTAACACACACACACATACAGTTAATACGTTTAATAATATGATTTATAAATTTATAAATCATATGAGGAGAATATGTATATTTGTCTGAATATAATATAGTTACAAATATTAGATAACAGATTGCGTGTGTTTTCTTTGATTCGTATCATATTTATAGTACGTAAATGCTCAGATTATTCTAAATGCTTACGATCAATAATATTTTATGCCCCTACGTGACTATTTTTTAATTTTTATTTATTTTTATTTTTTACACTGATCAGGTAGACTATGATTTTAAAAATATACACTTTATCTTGTCATATCGTTTGGTACAATACAAATATGTAAAAAAGTATTTTCCCTATTTTTAAAAAGATTTTTGTTAGCCTATCTCATTGGCAGTCGTATTACATTTGGAAGAAAACTTGGTAATATTTATTCTCTCTTTCAATGTTAAGATATACTCTTTAAGTATATAAACTTTAACAATAGTGCTAAAAAAATATATGTAAATTATTCATCATATGTTTATGTTATGGTTAATGTGGAGAAACCTACATTTTATAAAATGCCCAGGTGGTTTCGGTCAATTTATAAAATGTGCTTTAATTGGCTGTGTTTATGAATTAGCGGGCAATGTGTACGATGTGCAGATGTTTCACAGATTACTTGATTTACGAGGGCATTTTATAGAGAATCACTGTTACCCCAACATTAACTATAATATATATAACAATCATATATCTTGTTTGCAAATATTACATTAACAACATATTTATAATCTATCAACACGTGGACATTTTTTGTTTGATCTAGTTTAGTAAGAACTTTTAGTTTAATATATACATAAATATGGAATCTCTGCTTTGAAATGCCTAAAAAAAATAGAGAAAAAATTGATCTTCATTTTTATATATATATATATATATATATGACAAGATTTGTTATTTTCTTGAATTCTTTTTTTTTTTTCTTAGAACACATCTAATGCACATTTTCAGTACCAGGAAACAGAATTTTGGCACGATTTACGTTTTTTGTTTCATGTACTATAATATGCGTATGAAAAACTAATTTGATCAAGAAAATTACTTTTTCTTTTTTTTAAATCTTTAGTTTTGTATTAAAGTGATGCTATAATAAAACTTGAACATCATTAACCCTTTCGCTATAGCGCACTTGTGACAAGATATGATTGCTATGTACGGAGCGCGTTTTTTTGTATCTGATCACCCACTTTTCGATAGCATATATATACGCCCGTCGGAGCGAAAGGGTTAATATGAAAGTTCAATATTTAATTATGCATTAACTTTGTACTGTTCTTTAGTTGGACCACCACCATAATTTTCGCTATTATAATTATTACATTTCATTAAATATTGACCTTATGTTCATACATCAGCCTTTTTTGCCACACAGAGCAATTTGTTCCTTGTTTTCATCTGCTAATTATATTATTAATTTTACAAATACTATTTTATATATGAGCATATCAAACCTATTTGCACCGATGGGTGTATACTTTGTTATTGACAATACTTTTTGTACTTTCCAACATAAAATAACGATGCATGTAAATTTTATGCTTTTGAAGTGTGATGAGAACATAAGATCTTATTTTAAAAATTTGTAAACTGAACAGTAGCAGTAAATAATGCAAACCTATCACTGAAATTACTACTTCATAAAGTATAACTACTATGACTTCATAAAGTATAACATATTATAATATTTCAACATAGTTGCCACACTGTCAGTGACTAATAGATGATTTTTGTATTTATTATATTATGATGTCAAGTCTGAAAAAATGTATCATCAACAGCTGCAAACATTTTCTCCTTGAGGGAATAATGTTACTGCTTCATGAATAGCTTTTGCTACATAATCCAAATTATGTTCGGTCAGTCCACAAATATTTATGCGTCCACTGCGTAGTAGATAGATATGAAAGTGATCCAATAAATGCTTCACTTGTCTTTCTGCAAATTTAATATGATATATATTTTTAAAATATTTTTTTTTGAATTAATTATTTATATATTATGTAGAGAGATATTTCAAGCATACCACTGAGGCCTGTGTACGAAAACATTCCTATTTGTGTTGTTATATGTTCCCACGTGCCTGGCGTTCCTAACTTAAGTAATCTTTGATATAATCCTTCTCGCATTTCTCTTATCCTTCCTGACATAGTTTGGATATGTCCTTTCCTATGTTATTAATGTGCAATATTAAAATGAACTCTTATTATTATAACAATATATTCTCTAACCATTTGAGTTCCAAGCAGCGTGATTGCACTGTTTAGATTTCATGTCGAAAAATGCCATGTTATTGAAATGTAATGTACAATTGATATATAGTTTGGTATTTGTCGACACAATTTTTTTAAAAACCAATGGGACTCAAATAGTTAAAACATACCATTCTTTGCAAAGATCAGGATTATTAAGCACAGTTGATACTATGCGTGCTCCATGATTGGGCGGATTACTATACATTCCTCGTATAATTAACGTCACTTGAGATTTTAATTGAACGACTTCTTTCGCATCCGACATTACCACAACCATATTACCGGCTCTCTCATTATAAATACCAAAATTTTTGGCAAAACTTTGAGTGCAAATAAATTCTATCCCGCGTTCAGCAAACATGCGTACGGCGAATGCATCTTTATCTAAATCACCGCTTGCAAATCCCTAAAAATAAAATTTATTTATAACACGATTGATAATATTTTATAATAAATATTTGTGATATTTAATAGAGTAATATATAAATAAGTACTTGATATGCACTGTCGAATATTGTGAATAATCGACTTGCTTCTATAACATCAGCTATTTGTTTCCATTGTTCCGGTGTAGGATCACAACCAGTAGGATTGTGCGCACAAGCATGCAAAATAATGACTGAATTTTCTGGAGCATTTTTTAAATCTCTAAGCATTCCATCTAAGTCGATTCTGCGATTTTTGAAATCCCAATATGTATATTCGCAAGCGTTCTTAAACCCACCGTTCAAGAAAACAAGTTTATGATTTTCTATAAAGTAATATCGCTTGGTAAAATAATTGTCATTATTACTTCTATTAAATTAAATTAAACTATTACTCTTACCCCAGGTAGGTTTGCTATAATAAAATGTGTCATAATGTAGGATACGGCTTAAACATTCAGCAGCAACTCTTAATGCTCCGGTACCAGAAAGAGTTTGAATACCGAAAGCACGTCCTTGAGCAATGGCAGAAGAATTAGGACCTAACAACATTTTTGTAGCAGCTTGGCAGAAGGAATCCAAGCCCAATATTGGAAGATATTCATGATTTTGTAATTCGTCAGCTGCCAGCTGTTTTTCCACTTTTTTTACGACTGGTAATACCCATGGTTTACCTTCAGATGTACGGTAAGCTAAAAAAAAATTAATAGAATCGATTGGTTTCTATCTTTAATATAATATAAATATTCATGTATTTACATCACATATTAATCATTAAAATATTTTTCAAGTATAGAAGAGCATAGCTTATATAATTGATGTATTGCAAAGGTCATTCAAGAGCATAGTCGTAAAGATAAAAAAGATATTAATTATCACACGAAGATAACTTTGATTATATATTTTTTAAAAAGTTTAATCCATATAGACATATTGCAATTAAAGATAATTTAGATAAAAGTATAGATATTTTGTATTTTTTTTGTAATTTTATTTTTACAATTATGACGAAATGATCATACTTATGATATTATAAAATATTTAATCGTATATGCATAATGATCAGATTTTTTACATACCTCCTACAGCCAAATTAACTTTTTTCTCATAAGTATCATCGTTGAAAGCTTTTGTTAATGCGAAAACCTCGATGGGAGGTCCCAATTCGATCCCCGAGAATCTCGTGCTCATTTCAGCTGACTGGCTCAAGCTCAACTGAGCTTCGACGATTATGAAAAATGGAAGATAAAATCAACAAGAGCTCTGGAAATTAGTTAAGATTTGATATGTAACTTTTTACGACAACGTTATCGTATCTATATGTTTTAATTAATATTACAACGTAAATTTCACTTTTTATAGTATTTTTATTAGCATGGTCAAATTAATTAAACAAAGGTCAAGTTTATTATAAAATGTGCGCACGAAACAGTCGGAGACGATTTTAATAAAGCATTTTAATTACGCAATCTCTTAATAATATCAATAATATCGATGATATGTGACGTTATAACGTCGATACGTAACAATCTCTTTCGAAAAATATCATCTTTATCTCTTATTACAAATAAATTTTATTAAAATTCAAATGAAATATTTCAAATGCGTCATAAACTTTTCTAAACTTTAGAAAATAATTCTAACATTCTGATATACATATTTTTTTCTACTACAAATCTATTTCTTAAAATATTTAATCTTACATAATAAAGTCAATAAAATTCCGTATACTTAAATATTATTCGTAAATATTCTACAATCTGTAATAGAAAAGAAAGAACAATACATCAATTCTTGACTCCAATGAACACGTTGAACGCCCCTTCGTCCATGCCTGGGTGGACGACTATGTTTCCGCTGGCGCCGCAGTCACAATTTTCTTGTTCTCGAAGGTTTTCTTTTTTCGGAACTTTTATCGCATTTCCCACTTCGAGGCCTTTATGAGGCTTATAGTATTCTTCTTTTTACGTAATGGGTTGCTTAAAAACAATATCAAAGATTTGGGCCCCGGGAGAAACTCCACCGATTCAAGGTGGGCGTTCAACGTGTTAAAAAAGTTTTCATTAACGATCGATAACGACGAAGTCTACATTACCAACGTGAACGATATGTTCGAGTAATTGCGAGTTCTTTTAAAGCACCGATAGAGGCGGTAGGGTCGATTCGGCTCGGAACGATAACGCGGTCGGGTAGCGCGCAGAGTGAAAATGGCGCCGTTCGAGTGAGGGTGGGTGAGATTCTGTGCGCGCGTGTGCCCGGAGAGAGTGCGAGCCTACGGAAATGTGGCAGGATCTGGATGGTCTGGCCGGTGCGGGAGTTCATTGCAGTACTCATCAAGGTGACCAGTTTGGCACGGCGGGTAAGATAATTGTTGATTATTATGATGAAGAATAAACAATTATGGACCACTACGACACAACACAATACGATACTGTACGATACGATATAATACGATACGATATGATATGATACGATACGATTCGATTCGATATATAAACGAATCTCGGATCCTGCCAAGATCTGGAAAAAGGCTTATCCCGTGGAAAAGCGCAAGCGCCATGCACTTACTTTTCCTCTCCTTTTAACTTGTAAACAAAACCTAAAGGGAAGTCATCGTCTGTCGTTCTTTCTATCTCTCTCTCTCTCTCTTTTGCTCTTTTGCATTTTTGCTTTTTTGGTCTTTTGCTCTTTTGCTTTTTTAATCTTGTCCTCTCCATCTCGCTGTATCCCTGTCGTCTTCGGCTCGATGCACGGAAGACTATACGTGTCTCCGATTTCCCAGGAAGAATAGGAAACATTTTTCTCACAATTTTTTCTCTCTTTTTATCTTTTCTCTTTTTAATCTTTATGTCAAGCCTTCTTATTTATATATATATAACAAAATGAAAAAAGGCAAGTAATATCAAGACTTTACAAAAAAAGGACAAGTGTTAAATCCAAGTAGACTTTTTTTCCGAAAGAAGAATGGTCGATATCTTTCGATTATTTTGATATGACAGCTAGAAAGAAAGGGAGAGAGACAGAGAGAGAGAGAGAGAGAGAGAGAGAGAACGAACATCTGAATCGATGATGCAGATTTCGCACAGGAAATGAATATGTAATAGTTGGTATAATTTAGGTGTTAGGATTTTAAAGTCGGTCTAGTAGGCAACTAACGGTGAATCTCGTCTCCCGATGGCTTTGTTGTTTCCGTGTTGTCTTTTTTAGTTACGTATTGAAAGACAAACGTGACGACTATGTCGTCGTTGACGTCGATGTCCTCTCGGTGATTCGGAGCTCGTCGTTACTCTTTAGAGTTTGTTTGTTTCTTTCTTTTTCTTTCTTTCTTTCTTTCTTTCTTTCTCTCTCGAAAGACGCTCTGTGCAGCCAATGTACAGAATGCTATGTATATTATATGTGTGTGTACTATGTATATGGGATTGTGTGTATAAATATATATGTGTGTTGTCTGTATGTGCGTGTGCGTACAAAACTCGATGTAGTCGTGACAGTCGAGCAAAAACGCTTCTAGGAACGCGTCTCTGATCGAAACTAATCCTTATTGGCTTGTTTTCTGTTTACTTCTTTATTTACTTTTACCAATCCGTCCTTCTTCGTAGTCTATAAATATTAATGGCGAGATTGTAAGGATCTAACTGATTAGAAGTTTGAAATAGGAAGGAAATAATGCAACAGCCTTTATTTAAATACCATTACGGTTTGTTCGTTACGTCTTCTGTGTTATATTGTGTTCGAGGAGGAGAGTAGGTTAATCAGATGTTTCAGGAAGTTTAATGTCTGCTGCTAGTGAAAGAAATATTCATGAACGTACTCGCTGACCACTCTATTGAACATTCTAGTATATATTTATACTTGTTTTATACAGAGTAAAACCTAACTGCTATTATTTTATATTATCACTTTTATTTTAATTTTTCTTATTGTTTGTTATGTCTGAGGTTCAATCGGTTATGAGTATTTGTATTTAATATTATTTATTATGAATTTAGAACAATTTTTATATATAACAATTATATTTCATTTTCATTCGTTCGTATAATCAATAAAATAGAACGGCATTTAAGTTGAACCAATTTATTTTTGGCAAGTTATAATTTTTAATTGTTCATTAATCAATCAGAGATACATTATTTTTATTAGAACACATACCTACAAGCATATACACACATGAGCCAGAGTTTTAATTTAAATAAGAGAGAATAATATGGAATAAAGGATTAAATGTGTTTATCTTGGCTTCATTTGTATTGTTTTTTCTTCTTCATTTCGATAACATCGACCTATCGTACACATTCTTTTCTCCTTTTTCTTTATCTTCTTTTTCCCGATAACTAATTGTAAGTCTCTTAAAAGTCAAATACAACTCATCGTCTTAATCAGTCGTTCGCTATGCGAAGCGAACTTGATTCTTATCATGGCTTTGACGGTTAAAAGCTATTGAGAAAGCACGTACTACGTATACTACGTATAACGTGTACAACCTGCATAACGTGTATACGTGTATACGTGTATACACACTTCTCTTTTCTTACTATACAATAGTAATCGACGCGTATGATAATAATACGCTGAATGGACGCACGCTTTGAATTTTGCACGTGCGCGGCATACGATTAGCCGACAAGATCGATCCGTCTTTTCTTTACACTCCATCATTGTGCTTTGAAACTTAAAATTTAAAGGAAACAAAAAACAACAAAATTTAAATAAAGTTTAGATGGCACCGCTTTGAATTCGAAATTTTCGAATTGCCGCAAAAAATTAACGTTCAGATTTTAATTTCCATTGAAAAATATTTTATTAATTATTAATTATTAATATTATTTTTTCCACCGATAGATAAAAATTTAGACACGTTTGGAAAGTAAAAGTTAAACTAAAAACAACCAAAAAAGTTTCTAAATTGACCGAATTCGTTTAGGAATTCTCGTGGAAAATAAATTTTCTTATTTTTTTCTTCTCTTTGAAAAACTTGATCTATCGAGGAAGCATAAAGATATGCTAATTTTAGTTCGAATAAAAAAGGAAATGAAAAACGATAGAAAGAAGGAAAGAGGAAAGTTGTGACACCGAGTTCCTTTTCAAAGTTTCATGGAAAAGGAATTTCAAAAGAAATTTTCTTGAATAAAAAATATTCTTAGATCGACTAAAAGATATTAGTTATGCAAATTTAACTAGAAGAAAGTGACTACTGAAACTTGATCAGTCGATTCGATCAAAATTAAAGTAGAATGAGAATAATTCGATCTAATATTAAATAAATTCAAGTTATCTAGATCGAATTAATGAACTTTGAGTTTGAACGTTGATACGCTTTTAAAATGAATAATACGATAATTAAATAACTTCGATGATAAAATATACTTTTTCTTTTTCTCAAAGACTATTAAAACTAGCTCTTTCATTTTCTTTTATCCAAGTTTGTCAAAATATCATCGCCATTTTGTCGGAGATTTTTTTTTTTTCTTAAGAAAACAAAATGATCACAAAGATAAAATAATTTCTTTTCTTATTTTATCGTTCGAGAAAAAAATCTTAATAACACGGCTCATAAATCCTACAGAAATAATTCTCATGTTATGCTTCATGAATCATTCTTCGCTTTTGCAATTTTTCGCGTGATAAACAATAAGGAACTACTGCTACACTATCTTACTTTCTGCGGCTACAGTATTCCTGATAGAAACTACTTCCCCTTCCTAATTTACGAACCATTCACAAGCGAAAATAATTAATTTCAATTGAGAAATATTTTTTAATTTTAGCAACAATTTACTTGATCAATACCTAATGTTTTATATTTTAAATAATTAAGCTTAACAATAGTTAATAAAAAAATAATATTAAAATACTAATTTTAAAAAAATAGAAGAAAAATAATTTTCCATTTTTTAACTTACACAATTAGTCTACTTTGTAAAAATTTATTATAATATATACTTATAATAGATTATAATAAATAACAATATATATTATATAATTTATAAAGAAAAATCATAAAATCAATTTACTTTTTATTTTTTTACTTAATCTACTGTTATAATCAATGGCACATAGAATTCGATCAATTTTCTCGACTTTTTCTTGAGTGAGATTAATCAATTAGACAAATGAACGTCTCGTAGAAATCTATACTAAAATTTTGTAATTGCTGGATTGGAATTTGATTAAATGATTTTGTAAGATTAAGGGAGATCGGTTTGTATCGAGCATCGACCTCATTAAAACGGTAAGGAGTAACGCGAAGCAACAGTTTCTAATTGTTCCGCAGCAGTGACGGCTTGTAATCTAGCTAACCTGACCTCAACTTTCCGTTCCTTCTTGTGTCGAATGAGGAAAAGAGAGGGGAAGAAAAGAGAGGTGAGTGTACCCGTTCGAATTACATAATCTCTTGAGGTGGCTTCGAGACGAGGGGATTCATACGGTACCATCACCACCGTAAAAGAAGCAGGTGTTTTGTTAGAATGAACGTTTCCTGTGGGGTGAACCTACTTTACCTTTACATACACAAGACTTCATTCTTTCTCGAGTGCTTCTCAGCCTAGTGCTCAAATACACACACATATGATGCATACATGCATATACATAGAAAATAAAGTATAGTTTGTAACATAATTATTTGACTGTCATATAATAACAATAGTGTATTTTGTTTAAAAATATCTATATTTCCTGAAATATTTAATTACCTTTGTTTTATAGAGTCAAAAGTTCCTAGGCTATTTAAAAAATTAATTACACATTCTTTAGACGCGTTTTAGGTTAATTTTGTTTATATTAGGAATTTGTTTAAGAATATTAAAAAAAAACAAACACTTTATGATAGATTGGAAGTAAATAGGGTAGAGTGATAGAAAAAGAACGAAAATAGCGGTCAACTCATAAAGCAGGGCATCTATGAAAAGCATGAAACACGGTCTCATTTCTCGATGCATTTGTTAAGACAAATGGCACAAGTAGGAAAGATAGTGGAGAATAATGATGGCGCATCGTGGTACCGACCGAGAAAGGAAACAAACAGGGGATGGAGGAAAGTGAGGTGGGCACGAGG